CAATCACCAACTGTTAATCCATCTATCCCCCCCCCAATCACCAACTGTTAATCCATCTACCCCGGATCACTAAGTGTGTCAATCCATGTATCCACAGATGGGCCAGTACGGATGGCGCTGCACCAACAGCGAGGACCTCTATGAGTCGGACACTCTGATCGGCAACTGGAATGAAGAAAGATTTGACCTGAAGGAAATCAAGAAAAACAAACCTTTGCCGTCTCAGGTAAAGCCTAACCCTAGCTTACTCCTCGTACGAGATATTGTATGTAGATGTGCCGTAGAAGAAACGTTTGTCTAGTCTATGTACGGGATATTGTACGTAGATGTACCGTAGAAGAAACCTTTGTCTAGTCTATGTACGGGATATTGTACGTAGATGTACCGTAAAATAAACCTTTGTCTAGTCTATGTACGGGATATTTTGTACGTAGATGTACCGTAGTTATTGTCCATGGCAATGACAGCCAGCAGTTGTCAAGGAGAAAAGTGGATTTCTTCTACAGGTGGATGTCTTGTACAGGTGGTTGTCTTATACAGGTGGTTGTCTTGTACAGGTGGATGTCTTATACAGGTGGATGTCTTATACAGGTGGTTGTCTTGTACAGGTGGTTGTCTTATACAGGTGGATGTCTTGTACAGGTGGTTGTCTTATACAGGTGGATGTCTTGTACAGGTGGTTGTCTTGTACAGGTGGATGTCTTGTACAGGTGAATTTTTAGACAGGTGGTTGTCTTATACAGGTAGTTGTCTTATACAGGTGAATGTGTTAGACAGGTAGTTGTCTTATACAGGTGGATGTCTTAGACAGGTGGTTGTCTAAGAGAGATGGTTGTCTAAGACAGGTGGATGTCTTAGGTGGTTGTCTTTTGCAGGTGGTTGTCAAAGACAGGTGGATGTCTTTGGTGGTTGTCTTATACAGGTGGATGTCTTAGATGGTTGTCTTGTACAGGTGGATGTCTTAGGTGGTTGTCTTGTACAGGTGGATGTCTTAGGTGGTTGTCTTGTACAGGTGGATGTCTTAGGTGGTTGTCTTGTACAGGTGACTGTTACCAGAGACTCTAAAATATAGAGACAGGAAACGAGGTCTCGCGGTCCGTGACAACAGTGCATTTGCGAACGTGACCGCTGAGACGCGAGCTAAAAATAACCAGGCGCGGTATCGACAGCGAAGCGCGTCGCGTCTAGCCTAGGCCTAGCCTAGGCCTTATCGAAACGAAGCGCGTCGCGTCTAGCGGGGCCTAGGCCTAG